TGTCCGACGGTGTGAATAGACTGTAACCGTTATTTTGCTAGTCGTACTCTTCTCAGAGTCTGAAGCCACAAGCTATATTTTTTTTTTTTCTGCACGTCTCATTGCCACTTTGGTTTAAAGCAATTCGGGAACGTTTCAAGGTGGAAGTGCAAAAGAGGATTGTTTCGAGAGTTGAATCAACTTTTTCGCTTGGCTGCCAACTTCTATTGGTGCGAATGATTAGCCGYCTGGAACTCCAGAATTGTATACATTGGCCAGAGCTTGGCGACATGGTCTGTCGAATATGCCAGAAAAGCTTGAAGAGTCTCAAAAAATTTTAGGTTCGAGCAGCATCGTCAATATCAAAAGAAGCTGTGCCCGCTGCTACTGTTCTGTGGTCGAATCTTTTGAGAGCTTGTGGGAAAGCAAACGGTGAACTTTTGTACATCGTTCTTTAAATATGTATATTGTGGTTAGTAGATTCTTACCACAGCTACAGTTAAAGTTATTAAATTGTATCAAAAAATATCTAAAATGCATAAACAGAAGCAAAGTAAAATATAAGAAGCTTAAGTTTGATCTCAGATTAAATGACTGGTTGTCTGGGATTTTGATGTACTTTACTTGTAACCACTGGTTTTTTTCAAAGATGAATCAAAGCTCTATAAGCTGGTTGTGGCGAAAGATTCCTGGTCTGAAATCAACTCTGAAATCAAAATCACTTCTAGAATGTTTTTACCAATGAACTTGTCGGTCCTAAAGACACATATTTCGCTTCTACTCCWACAGTATGCTCCAGGCAGTTGAATCTCACATGGGTTTAGCAAACGTTGGTCAGTCGTGAACACTTGTTGCTTTGAGTAAGTTATGGAATCTAGTGAGCTTTCGCCGCTCAGTGTTACTTAACATCTGTTAACTGATCACACACAATAAAGAAATATTTGTGTAATTTGAAGAAGAGTCCTTCGAGTTATTWCTTTCACAGCTGTTGGAACAAAATGTTGATCAGTTTTATTAGGCATGAGTGAATGACTGAAAATCATGATTAAGAGTTACGTCGGTCTAAATTGATGGCTCTAGTGAYCTGAGTGTGATAAATATTAATTATAATTATTTCTGGTAGTCTTTCACTATTTTAATAAATATGAGTTTTTGAGGGTATTATATTATATACATTAATAAAAAGTACATTTTTGATAACGTCATCTTCCCTCTTTCCTATCGCAGTTTCGTGTGGAGCTCTGGAAAAGTTCGTCCTTATGATTACTCTTTAAGAAATGTTTAAAAATTCTATTTTCAACACCTATTCAGCTTAAGATAATGTTAGTTGTGTTAGGCGCTTCAAAAGAATTGGAAACTWAGCTTCAATTTGCACTCCCAGTTAGCTCAAAAGCTGTAATTTGAATTGAGAGTGCCGCTMATTCATATAAATCCATATAACATTAGTTTTGTTAGCAGTTCTAACAGTCGTCCATAGCCGAGTAGAGTGTCATCTGTTCGGTCGTTGAAACTATTTCGATAAAATACCAACAACTTTGTTTGTTGTTGTGTAATTTCGAAAATATGCAGTAACATGGAAAGTTGCAAACATTAAAATTAAAAGCAACAATTAAATGACAATAATACAGTAATTAAGCTGCTTTCGCAAATATGGGCGAGTGTATAATGCATACATACGTATATATGTACATATATGTATGTATTATCTATGACGGTGTGTGAGTGTGAATTGAACAGAGTAAAGCATGTGTAAACACGTAATTGTTCCACTCAATATCAACAAAAGCAGCAACAATGCCACGTAGTTGACTGGAAGTGAAAACAAAGGGGGTAAAGTGGCGGAAGACACGCTACGGCGATTTAATGATGTCATTCCATTACTCTGCATTCACTACACATAAATAGTAGTTCGTTGGAATTCGTGAGAATGTTTTTGTATGAAGTGAATAGAACAGCAACTCTCTAAAAGTGGGGAAAATCAAACTTAAGTGCATGAGTCCGAGTTTTGTTTACTTAGTGTCGACTGTTTCGTCGGTAAGTTTTGTTAAAACTAAAAGCAATCAAAAGGCTAAATCCGGTTCTTCCTCTTCTTACTTCTCGGCTCACACCCTTAAGAGGGGTTTATGGGCGGACGAAAATATTTGATAAGCGTTTAAGCGAAACGTTTAGGGGTGAAGTCTTCTGTCGAGAAATCTTCATCAACTCTAATTTTAGGCTACCAGATCGCTGTAGTGTCTTTCAAGCGAAAGTCACTGTCATCAAGGTAACAGTAGATGTATTGCTCCGAAGTTCAGCTTTCTTCAGAACGGTGTATTTTTTCTGACGCCTGAAGGCTGTATGGAAGAAGACGACACACCTTTCGCGAATTCAGAAAAGTGGCTGAGATTGTTTTAAACGGTCAAACATTTCGTCGATCTATGAGGATTTATAGATCAATTTGTTTGAACTTTATGCGTAACACCAGGAACAAGCAGCTGTTCAAGTGAGATCCATCGATTTATGATCAACCCAATCTAACTTAATGTAGCCATCAGTGGAACCGATATTCGAAGACTTAAAAATGTATTTTTAACTGAATTTTGTTTTAGAATATATTATCAACGCTGTTATCGATATACTATGCGCATCCATAAATACTCGATAAAAATWTCGACAAATTTATACCGATATATCACTAGAATTACGTAAGTAACTATTCACTGGCCTTGYTCCATACTCACTGCCGCCAACGACTGCCATTTGCACGGCTCCTCGTAACTGGATTTT